TAAATCTTATTCTCAGGCATCTACGCATGCATGTTGGCTACAAGCTATGCTAGAAGAACTTCAAACTCATCTGGATAATCATACATGGGACATTGTTCCTCGTCCTGATGGAGTAAAGCTCATTGGATGCAAATGGGTGTATACTATCAAACTTCGACTTGATGGTACTATTGAGAGGTATAAGGCCGGTTTGGTAGCTCTTGGGAATTGTTAGGAATATGGTCTTTGATTATGAGGAGACATTTGCGCTTGTAGCGAAGATAACTACTGTGAGGACTATTATGGCAATAACAACTTCTAAAGGATGGTTTCTTAAATAAATGGATGTGAAGAATGTGTTCTTACATGGGGATTTGATGAAGGAAATATAAATGAGTCGTCCACCTAGTATGCTCTCATTCTTCCACTGAAATGCTCTCGTTCTTTCACTGAAATGTGTTGGTTGAAGCGGTCTTTATATGGATTGAAGCAAGCTCCGCTTGTATATTTTGAGAAGTTTCGTAACACTTTGCTTGATTTTTATTTTACTCAAAGCCACTTTGATTCTTCTCTATTTCTTAAGAGAATCGACGTTGGCCTTGTGTTGTTGTTAGTATATGTGGATGATATTGTCATTACAAGGTCTGACACTCAGTTAATTGAGCAACTACAACGGCATCTCAATACTACGTTTCATATGAAAGATCTTGGTTCTCTTCAGTATTTTCTTGGTCTTGAGGTACATTCTTGCCCAAACGGTCTCCTTCTGCATTAACGCAAGTATACCCAAGAGATTCTCGCCTTAGCTGGTCTTCAATCTTGAAATTCGGTGCATACACATTTGGAGGTCAATGTCAAGCTCAGTCCGGATGAAGAACTTTTACCCAATTCATTACTATATCGACAGATTGTAGGAAGTTTAAACTATTTGACGATTATTCGCCTTGATATTTCTTTCACAGTACAAAAGTCAATCAATTTATGCAAGCTCCTCGTCAATCTCACTTAGCCGCTATGCAACGAATTTTTCGTTACCTTAGAGGTACATCGGATAGAGGTTTTTTTTTTTTTTTCCCCTTCCGACAGGGAGCTCCTTACAGTTAATAGGTTATAGTGATGCTGATTGGGCTGGTTGTGTAACTACTCGCCGCTCAATTTCTGGTTGGTACATGTTCTTTGGTGATGTCCTCATTTCTTGGAAAAGTAAGAAACAGGATCAAGTCTCAAAATCCTCTACCGAATTTGAATATCGTGCTATGTCTTCAGCGTGTTTAGAAATCATATGGCTTTGGGGTTGTTAGTTGAACTTGGTATCCCCCAAATTAGTCATACTCCACTTCATGCTGATAACACTAGTGTTATTCAGATTGCTACAAATCCAGCTTTTCACGAGCGCACAAAGCATATTGAAGTAGATTGTCATTTTATTCGTGAAGCTCTTGATCATGATGTGATCACACTTCCTCACATTTCCATCGAGCATCACACTGCTGATATTTTACCAAAGCCTTATCTTGCCACCACCGTCAATTCATGGTTGACAAATTGATACTTCTTGATCAACTAGCATCAATTTAAGGGGCAATGTCCGACAGATATAGTGATTATTGGCCAAATCTGTGTATTTCTAATTAATTTACACGTTATTAGTTGTTACCATATTTAGATAGACAAATTGATTCTTAATTACCTGTAAATTAGCCGTGTACCTGGTTATTCTTCTCCTTTTTATTGGAAATGAAATCCCTCCACGAAAGGGGCAATTGGAAACCATTTTGACAAAAACGAGGTCAACAAATACTATTTTTTGTCAAGTAGTCCCTGAATTTTCCAGAGAGATTTGCCACTTGATGTGATCAACGTCTTAATACTCTTACATCAAATGTTTCTCGACATTAGTTAGATGCTCTTTTGATTTCTCATTGAGCGAGTAGTTAATTCGAACCTAGAGTAATCATATGTAAAGGTGAATTACTCATTGTCCTCTCATAGGTGTATTCACTGGTTTTCATACATCAGAATGAACTAGTTCCAATGTTCTCGAGCTCCCCATTAGGATGTTATTCATTTAGCTTCATGCTCAATGGCATCTGATCTGATTGATTCAGCATAGAAAATTCATGCAGGAGGTGATGATAGCGTTACATAATTTTATAATTCTTTAAGCCCCTTTGATGGTGATTAAAATTAGATTTTTGGTAGATTTTGATTAAAGTTGATGAAATGTGCAGTTAAAATTAATTGTTAACTTTGAATTAGGTTAAAATCTTAATTTTAATTCTTACCAACCATTGGTTAAATTTATACTTCTTTTTTTCTTTAATATTTCTCAAAAAATTTTAAGCTAGCTATCATGGGTATCAATATCTGAAGTTTATTTATTTATTTTTTTCACATACAAGACTCCCTGTGATATTCTGTTCGTATATTTTCAGAATCTGAATAAGGAGTCTACTGACTCGAGATGGAAGCCAGATGTGCAGGCATGGACCAATAAAGGGGGTCGAGGAAACTATTCATCACGATACAGTTCTAATGGTAATCCTTGATTAAAAGGAAAAGCCCCGCCAAGTTCTTTTCAAGTTGATCTTATATTCGATGCTATTTGCTGTGCAGACAACCACCTTGAGTTGAATTATAGTTTCCAAATTGGAAATATTGGATGATTTTTACATTTTTATGCTATAGTTAATTTCACATTCAAAGCCACTTGCTTTTGTGAATAATTCTGCTGTATTCAACTCGTTTAATACCATACTTATCTTAAAGCCATGATAAACTGTGTACTTGTTGCTATGAAGCCTAGCCTTTTGAAAATATATAAACAAGAATTAGAAAATAGAAAACACAACAGAAGCGTTATTTTCCTACTCCACTCGTTTTCTTGCCCTTCATTGTTCTTTACACATGCCTTGTCAGATACTAGTGGTGGAAGGAATTACACTTCTGTAAAGGAAAATGCGACCATTCAAATTTCAGAGAAAGGAGTTAGTGCACCTCCTTTGCCTACTTTACAGGAGAGCAAATGGAATGAAACTTCTGTTATAAGGTACAATAGTTTACTATACTTGTTTATCTGATGTTGCTCCTCTTCTAAGTCATCAAAATTTCACTTCCATGATACAACCTACCCTATTACTTGAGAGGTTTGTTTGTTTTTTCCTCCCCAGTATGCTCTCAGAGTTGCTATCTGTTTTGTTTTGCAGCCCAGTAACTGCCTTGTCCAATGGTCCTCCTGGTATGAGTAGTACTAGTTTTCTACATGAGACACATGCAACTGCAAGTAGAGGTGTTGATCAATCTGACACAACTGGAGATGCCAACACAAGTAACGTGGAAGGACTGCTGCCACTTCCGTCCCCCACTGATTCAATTAAAAGCACTGATGTTGCTAATGGAACCCATGTGCACCAGATTCTGAAATCCAGCAACAGTTTAACACCTATTAATTCAGCAACTTCTTCTGTAGCTCGTTTCTCTTCTTCTGATCGTGTACTATTACCTTCTCAAAATATACGGTCCGCTAGTGCCGTTGACACTATTAGACATGAAATGGATAGTGAGCATACCCCCGTTGAGCAAATTGTAGTTAATACTAATGAGGGGAAATCAGCTTCAGGTAGAATCTATACCCTATTAGAATCTATTTCCTGTTTGCATTTTCAAAAAGATTAAGCTTATAAGACTTTTTGTATTTGATATCTGTAATAGAAGCTTCGGTTGGCGGCTCTGTAGTGCCTCAGATGCCAAATATTTTTCAGCGAGTTGGAAAGAATCAGCATTTAGAATCTCCAAAGACTGCATCTTCTACATGTGATGGTTCATTTGTTAGTAGGCCTTCATCTAATCACAACAATCGGACACTGATTGGCCCACAGAAAGGTAAAAAGCTTATGTCGTCTTGTCACGATTCTTGTGTTGCTTGCTGCCATATTTTTATTGAGAATTAGTTTAATATTATCACTTGGTGGATAGGTCGGTGCTTAGGCTGCTTGACTGAAATTTTTGGGCGATCATTGTTACTAGTCCAATCATTTTGTTTAATTTTGAGGAAAATATTCATTTTAGGATATGATATGACTGAAATAAGTGAGAAAGGACGTATTGGTGATTTACGTCAACCAAGTTTGGCAAAGATATAGTTTAGCTTCCTCTCCTTTGACAGAATGACAGCTCAGTGCAAATTGAGAGAGACACACAGACGGTAGTCTACAAATGATTTTTTTTTTTTTTTTTTTTTTTGGCATATCAATATTGGGATGTGAATTGTGTGCGTGTAGGAAATATCTATCCATTTAAGCTTTGATTTGAAAGCTGCATTTTCATATAGAGTCATGCATGCATTTTTTCAATTTTCTCTGTGAATTTCTCTTAGATCTTGTGTTGTTTTTTCAATGGCAACTCATAAATTTGTCTCCCAGTCTAATATTTAGCCTCAATATAATATTGCTAAGATTGTAATAGAGAGAACATTTTGCAATTCCGAGTAGAATTTAATGTAGAGTAAGGTGACTATAACTTTATCAGATTCTGCCAGGTGAATTGAATCCACATATATAGTTTTATTGAGGATGCAATTAGCTCCATACTCAATAACTAACAGGTCGTGGTGTGTTTTCCTACAGTGGTTCCTGGCAAGGAGTGGAAACCAAAGTCTGCAATCCCCAGTATTAGTCAGGATGCTAGCACAACTGCTTCATCTGAGGTTTCTACAATTGTTGTAAAGCATTCTGAAGTGCAGCCAACAACCAGAGTCATTTCTCAAGTTACTTTAGAGATGCAGAGGATGTTGGAAGAGACACCCATTTTAGATAGTCAAAACGTGATTATACCTAATCATCTGCATGTCCCTGATGCTAAAAAACTTGGGTTTTGTTTCGGAAGTTTTGATGCTGACTTTGAATTAGACATGAGCCATAACAGTGGTCCCAAGAGTGATAAGAGTCAGCCTCTGTCTGAATCTCCTGAGGCCATTGAGGGAACTGTCAAGGAGCCATCTCCAAGGTACCCCTATCTCCCTCTCTCACCCGACTTTATCATTCGGTCTTTATTCTGCCTCAAATGCTTTTCTTTCTTTCACTGCCTAGTTCAATTTACACGACGACACATTTAGTGGTCTCTATTAGACATTGTTGGATTTATGCAATGAGGTTTTATTTTTCTATTTCCTGGGTCAACCAGGTTGCTTTTTATAAACAAAATTCTTTCTCCAACATGAATAAATAAATTTTTGCAAGACAAGAAACGTTCCTTTAACATGCTGAACTCTTGAATGTTTGTATCTTTTGAACCGTGAGGTAAATGTGGGCAAAAACCTCAGAAAATCTGGATACAACCATCGAAGATTAAATTATCTGTTCCTTTAGTTTCTGGGAGTCATATTGATGTAGGATAGATAGAGAACAGACTGCAACCATAGGAAGAAGGAAGAAGAGCTGAGAAGAAGTAGAATAAGAGGAGCAGAAGAGGAAGAAACCGGAGGAGAAAGAGGGAAGAGAGGGGAGGTAGAACGTGGGCAAAGCCAATCTTAATTCATTGCATTCATCAACTGCCCTCATCAGTTCATTACAACCATATAAATAACAAAATAACAAAATAATAAACCTAATTTGAGGGCTTGGGCTGCCAAACCCATATACAAGCCCAATAAAACATAAGGCCTAAAATAAGTGGAAGATAAAATGGCCCAAACAAAGGGCCTGATGAAGGATGATGTCCACATCACATATTCTTTTTCATTTTCAGATCCTTAGGAGGGGATCGATTGTGATTCGATGAGCATCTAGTATCTTCACTCAATTAAGCATTAATATTTACATATAGTCTTGTATGGCAGTTTAACTTGATTCAACACTGTATTTTCTTCTTAAATTGGTCTGTGGTGGCAACTAGAACTTTTGCTAGGTTCATAAATACTCTCTTTAGGCCTAAGATACAATGAGCAACGCGAAGGTATGAAACATGTTTATGTTCAGTCATCATCCTCCTGGATGTACCCTAGAGGCTGTGCAATCTCTTTTTTCTTCATTGATATGACCCAATATATGTATTGTATTTTGCTGATAAACTGTTAAGCAAAAATAAATGTTTTTTCTGTTTCACTTTTAGAAAAAGAAAGTGAGATTGCTCTTCTTCAGTATTGTTCTCATTGGAGGAATTTCATTTCCTCTCTATTGTCCCATAGAATACCGTTCCTCTTTTTGTTGCTATCTTTGAGATCTGTCACTGATCCCTAGTCTTTTCCCTTTTTTCCTCACTTGTGTTTATCTCGTCCTTGTTATGCACATTGGACTAAGTGAATCATTGTTATATGCTACTTTTAACTGTGAAAATAATCATATACGTTGAAATACACGTGTATATACATGGAGGGAGGAAGCAAAAGATGTTTCTACTATGATTTTTTTCGCATGATTATTGATTCCTGAAGCATTCCATTTAAACATTTCATACACAGTTTCTACTTGCACCATTGTTCACATTCTCTTATTATGGTTACAGTCAGAATGAGCTGGTAACTGCAGAGGATACAGAAGCAAAATACCCTGACAATCCTCCAACTTTGCACGGACTAGAAAATTTTTCATCTGCTGAGGGTGAAGACTCATCCTCTGTTCTCCCCGAGTATAATGAGCCTAAGCATGAGGTTGCTTCTGGAAGCCATCAACATCCTGTGGCTCAATCATCCTCAAGCTACGATTTTGGTTTTATGCCACCAATATTGAGTAGCCGGGTTTCACCTTCGGAAAGTTCAGAATCTCAAGTTCGCGATGCTTCTCAAGTTCCAAGCTTTGTTGTATGTCTTAGATGTATCCATTATAATCTCGTAGTTTTTTAACTATCGGCTTTCAAGTTTCAATTATTATGGGCTGGCATGCCCTTCATTATGATAATTTATCATTCTTTCTCAGATTTAGGAAAGTTGATGCATATTATTAAACTCATCACTTGGTTTCTGTTAGTAACAATAATTTAATTTTGGATTTATTCTTACAGATACAGCAATCATTTGACCCGACAAGCTATTATTTGCAATTATATCGGCCTAGTGCACACATTGATGGCCGCATTTCGCCATTCCATTCAGCTGGAGCTGCGTCCAAAATGCTCTCTGCATTGAATTTGCAGTCTCCTCAAGAGGTTTGGGCTTTCAAACCCTGGGAGTTCACTGTTTGCATATTTCTTTTGCTTTTTGTGAAGGAAACATGAATTGTGATTGTCTCTAGAAAGAGGACAAGATAAGCATGATTCAATTTTGTTTCATTTTGGAATTGATTTGCATAATATCAAGCTCGAACTTTATTAAAAGGTTCTGACCTTTGTCATGTAGAAATTATCTTGAAGATACTCCTAAATGGTGAAAATTCATCTTGCCACCAAAATCTTTCTATTAAGAAACATAATTGGAGATTGTTTATGATGCGTGTTTTCATCAATATATAAATTTGTACTTAGAGAAAATAGCTGCCAAGATCCCTAATCTTTAACATGCATTGCACTTTAGACCTCACCATCAAAAAGGAGCATTTGGCTCCCCAGTCTTTCATTTTTTGGTAGCAGTTATGTCCCCACTGGAGAATTTTGTCCTTGTCTTTACCTAGCAAGCCAAAATATCATTAGAGAAGAATTTATACTTATCTTTAAATTTAAAAAATTAAATGAGAAACAAGAGAGGAAAAAAATGTGCATCTTATCCAACCCCTTCAAACAACCCCCTCTGGCAACCCCCATCCCCTAGACATCTTCTAGATGTGTTCTTTTTCATTGTCATGTAGACAGCACATCCTTACATGCCAATGGACTCGAGCAACGGGAACACAGATTTGAGTCGAAAAGCTTTTTGCATCTGCTGGTTTCTCTCCAGCTTTTATGCCCAATGACCAAATCCAGTCCCCATGCTGGCTTCAGTTGGTCGGTGTCATTGTGAATGATGGAAAAATGGTGTACTTCTTCTACTCTCTTGGTTGTCAAGGTTGGAGTTGTAAATGAGAATTGGGCAGAAAGATGAGTTACATAACAGCATTTAGTGAGTGTTTTGTCTCCAATATTGCATTAAATCTTATTTTACCCTTCAAGAAGGGATAAAAGAAAAGGAAGAAGATATCAAAAAAATCAGAATTGACCAGGTATAGCAAGTGACCATAGCAAATTAAATTTTACCTGATCGTCTGATAAAAATGGTGTTTGAGATGTGGGTCATAAATCTGTTTGAGGCATGAGCTTCAAGAGTGGGGGTGGGTACCTTGACGGTTGGGGGTTGCTCCAAGTGAAGGATGTTTTGGGGGTTGGGGTGGGGCAGAATTTTGGGAAGAAGTTGATCATTCTTTTTTCTTATTTTATTTTTCTCATCTTTTATTAAATATTGTTTATTTAAATATAAGGGTGACTGTCTTGTTTAAAAAAAAAAAATTATATTGCTATTTAAAGATAAGAGGAAAATGGTTCACTAGGGATATAACTGCTTCTAAAATGGAAGGTAGGGGACTCAATGCTCCTATTTGAAGGTTGGGGGATCTCTGCTGCTATTTTTTGTACCTTTGGGTGTCTGTTCTTCCATTTAGTACAAGTGGACAGGAAATATTGGGATAGATTTTTCATGTCACCATTTAGTTTAAAATCTTCTAAGGCAATTCAAGAATACCTGGAAAATTTCCTGCGGTTAATTAAAAAATCTTCTCTTTGTTAGAAAATTAAATCTCTGGCAAACAAGATCTTTCGTTTTTTGTGCCTAACCTGGTGAACATATACTTTGGAAGTATAAAAGTTGAGCCTGAGAACAGTTTCTTATGTCAACCTTGATTCTATGCGAGAATGTGCATGTAGGATGAATGAAATTAATTTTTGTACCAAATATCTATTTTCACCAATTCCTTTGGTGAATATATAACTTCTGATGAATTCAATTCCTAAGACTATAAAGGAAAAGCTAACTGATATTACACAGAGTAGGAGGTACAGAATGCTTAAGTTCTTCAATGGATCAGAGTATACGAGTACATTAGAATGGTGTTTGTCATCCGTTTCAACTTGCTAGAAATTCTTTGGTCTCCTATCCTTTCAAAACCTTTACTGCTTTCAGGGTCTGTCCTGCACATCCTAGTTTTATTGTGAAAAATGTTATGTCTGTGTCTATGTAGGAAATTGTCATAATTTCCCGTGTATATGTTAGTGCTTCGTAGATTCCTATACCTATCCAATATGCTATTAGATGAATATCGTATTGGGTATTGGGAATGTTCAATAGGATTTTGGAGTAAAAGGGCTTCCTAGGCTTCAAAGCATTAACTTGTCAATTTTTTTGCATATATTCCTGTGCAAAATGAGACATTCTCTCTCATTTTTCTTGTTGCACAATAGGACAATGTTCACACTTTCCAAATCACTCATCATCTTCTTAAACCTGTATATAAGATCAATATCCTTACTTTTTCTTTCGGCAAACCATGAGTCTAATCTTGCCGAGTGTCAAAACTTTGGTTGAAATGGTTGTCTAAAGCTTTTAGCCATCCTTGTCGGGTTTATCTCTTGTTGTCCCTTAGAACATTGATGGGCAGTCCTTGTAAATGATCTAGGTTTGGTAATGAACATGAATTTTCCATGTAGTTGCTAAAACTGTAAAAGAATATTGATGTAACAGCCAAATAAACATAGAAGCAGTCACATGGAAGAAGAAGAAGATGAAGAGAACGAAGGAGAGGAGAAAAAGGAAAGAAGAAAATACTATAGAGAAGAACATGTGAGAGAGCAGTAAAAATTTGTTAATTTCCCATAATTGTCTGCCTTTCTTTCACCTCTAATACACCACTTACATATAAAGGTTATGGGCTTGGGTCATGCCCAAGTACAAACCCAATTTAATAGTCTAAAATAATAAAACCCAAACATTTATCAAATGGATGTCCTCATCAAGTCGTCCAGGATGGAAGGTAAACTCCACTCTGTTGAGTGGACAAAATAAAAGGCTACAGTCAATCTGCAGTCAATCTTCCAACCATAAGCTGAGTGGCTAAACAATTTTCTTCCGACTCCCATAAACGTGAGTGGAGGTCTGAATTTGTTTTCTCCACCGACTCCCTCGACATGCGTGGAAGGTGACCTAGGCAAAGGAAGATCCTGCTTGCTCCGATAAAGCTCTAATAAATCTGGGTCAAAGTTGCTGAAGTGTCTTTCTGGGAATCCATGTACAATCAGAATCCGATCGGTTTACCCAACGAACAAGGAAGCGCTATCTCTCTCCATCATTGGTCAACATAATCTGTTAATCTAAAATAGCATCAATTTTATTTGTGTGCTGTGACAAATGATATTGAAGTAAGAATAGCAACAGATTCAAGTTGAGGGTCCATAAATGAAGTTAGAAAAGGATATCCCCGGAGGGATTAAAATGGCCTTTGTAAGCAACTAGATCATCAACATTGAAAGTAGAGTGGTACCCAAAATGTAATGGAAGGTTAATGACGGTATTTGGACCAACACGATCCAGAAGGACATCGTTCCGATCTAATTCGAATCATAACATAATCTCTAATATTAAATCCAACACGTTTATGCAAATCAGCTCGAAGTTTTACTTGCTTTAAGTTGTTTATTGATCTCAATATGCAGGTTATGAAGATGATGTTTATTTATAACCATGAACAATTTCAAAAAGACTCATACTTAAAAATCGATTCACAGAATTATTATGAAATTTGGGGTATAAGGAGATTAAATCTCAGTTCCTAAGGTTTTCCTGAACTAGACACCTTGATAGATTACCAAGATTGTGATTAGCAAATTCAGATTGACCATCAGTCTGAAAATGATATGTAATGGAGAATTTCAGTTAGTGTCAACCATGTGCCATAAGGTTCTTCAAAAGTGGCTAGTGAACCGAACATCCCTATCTGAGACAATGGTATTAGGAAAACCATACGACTTAACAATCTCATTAAAGTATACTTTGGCAACCTTAGATGCATATGAAGTCTTGCTGCAAGGGATAATGTGGGCCATTTTCAAGAAACGATCTACTATAACAAAAATAGAGTAATGTTTCTTTGGAATATGGGGGAGTTCTAACACAAAATCCATACTGACATCTTGCTAAAGATAACTAGGGACGGAAAGAGGCGTGTAGAGATCAATGTGTAGAGATCAATGTTGGCCAACTGACAGGTGTTATAGGTGCTAACTATCTTAGCCACATCTGTCTTTAAATGAGGCCAATAAAATTAATGTTCAACCTCCTTGATGATCTTATCACGTCCAAAATGTCTAGCCAAGCCTCCAACATGACTTTCCCAAACTATAAAGTTTCGTACTGAAGTCCGAGGGATACACAACTTATTAGACCTAAAAAGATAGCCTTCCTCAAGACGGAAACCATTAGTACCATTCGATTGCCCACTTTGCTAGGTAAGAAAAAATGTCTTTAAAATCGAGACATCACTCGTTTCTTCCTTAAGCCTTTCAAAACCTATGACCTTGACACTCATAATAGACGAGGAAGATACGACGGCTTAAAGCATCAGTTGCTTGGTTTTCAATGCCTTTCTTATGTTTCAAAACAAAAGGGAAGGCTTGCAAATATTTAATCTAGAAACCATGCCTAGAATTTGACCTTTTCTGAGAATTAAGGTAATGAAGGACCTCATGGTCTGAATAAAGGACAAATTCCTGAGGTAATAAGTCATGATGCCAATAGCGCAAAGTCTGCACAATCGCATACAATTCCTTATCATAAGTTGAGTACCGTTGTTTAACATCATTTAATTTCTCACTGAAATAAGCAACAGTGTGGCATTCTTGGCTCAGGACTTCACCTATTACTGCTCCGGAGGCATCGCACTCTACCTTGAAAACTTTGGAGAAGTTAGAAAGTCGCATGATTGGAGCTTCTGTCATTCGCTTTTTAACCAACTTAAACGCTTCGGTTGCTTCTTACATCTAATGAAATTTTCCATTCTTCATGCATTCCGTAATAGTGGTCATAATCGTGCTAAACCTTTTGATGAAATGACAATAAAAGGTAGCTAAGAGCCTGTTTGATAGAATTTATTTGGGAATAATGAGTTATTGAATAGTATTTTTTTGAAAAATGTATGATTAAAAAGTAAAGAAGCTTTTTTGATTAGTGTGTAGAATATTTTACTTATGAATGTGTGGTGGAGAATGATCTTATAACAAACAATTTAAATTTTTGATGGATGACAAATAGGGGCTAAATCATGAGAACTCCTAACGTGATGTATATCCTTGGGTTAAGGCTAATCTATAATGGTTTGAATCTTTGCAGAGTCAGCAGACTCCTGTAGCGAAAACAATAAACCCTAGGAAGACAACTCTATCAGTGAAGAAAGCACATTTCTTCACACTAGTAGGGTTGGCAACGATTCGGTTATGGGTCGGTTCGACCAAAACAATAACCGCACCACTAATTTTTTTGACCACATCATAACCGCACCATATAAATCGGTTAGGTTTGTATCTCGGTTCGGCACGATTAGGTTCAGTTAATAATCACGAAAATAAATTATTTTTTATAGGTTCATCCGTCAAATTGATATAAAACAATTTATGAAAAAAGTCGATGAAAACAAAAACACAATATTCCAAACGAAAATGCAAACATTATCCCAATTTTCAATTGCAAAATACAAATTTAACAAACAATGCCAAAACAATAACCGCACCACTAATTTTTTTGACCACATCATAACCGCACCATATAAATCGGTTAGGTTCGTATCTCGGTTCGGCACGATTAGGTTCAGTTAATAATCACGAAAATAAATTATTTTTATAGGTTCATCCGTCAAATTGATATAAAACAATTTATGAAAAAAATCAATGAAAACAAAAACACAATATTCCAAACGAAAATGCAAACATTATCCCAATTTTCAATTGCAAAATACAAATTTAACAAACAATATTATAAATATAACAATACTAAACTTTCCCTTCATTCTTAATCGTTGTGCATCAAAGTTACTTGATTCATTCTTCCCCACAAGTCTTTACTAGAATAGACCAACACTCAAAGTTGATTTTTATATAGTAAATAAGAAATTTAAGTAGAGAATATAACAATACTACCTATTTCAGAATGGTCTTAACTAAGATTTAAATAAAAAAATGTACCTCTTTATCAGCTTCCTTCTCGCTAAACATTGCACAAGTTCTAGAGTATGATGGAGTAGAATTTTCTACACACAATAGAAAAAAGTTAATAATAAAAAGAAGTGTATAAATAACAAATATAAAACAATAAATCCTACCATGAATATCAGTGCAAAGCTAATCCTGAGCACACATGAAAGCTTCTAGAGTCGTCGGCTGAAGCCTATTTCTATATGGACTCACAAATCTACCACTTGTACTAAACGCCGATTCGGATGCCACAATAGATACTGGAATGGCTAATAAATCTCTTGCAACCTTCTATAAAGTCGGATATTTTATTGAATTTGTTTTTCACCATGTCAATAAATAAAAACCATCCATCCTTGGCAATACTGGCTCATCTAGAAAAATATTGAACTCTGTTTTTACATGATCAGCAATAATAGAATGGCTAACAAATGTAACAAATTTTCGGAGATGACGACGACTTGGACCATGGAGGCAGTGGAGCCGTGCGTGAGTTTATGGTTGGTGGAGAGTAGGGTTTGCATTTATATACTGTCATACTAATGCTATTATTATGAGCTAATGGTAAGTGCGCTGGCCAGCTGAGTCAGGTAGATGTAATGGGGGGATTTTTTTTTCTTTTTTAGCAGGTAATCGGTTCGGCTTCGGTTCCACAACGTAAATAGCATACCCGTACAGCCATGAATTGGTTTATTAAAATCAAAATCATATCCACCCTATTGCACCATTGGTTCGGTTAACCACGATTTTCAATTTTGACGGTTCAAATTGTCATTTCTACACGTTAGTATACATGTTGCACGATGGGTAGAACAAACCTATGTAAGATGATCTCGATGGTCTCTAGTTTTACAACACACGAGAATGTCATCAAAATAAATGACGAGGAATTTACCCATGAATGGTCGCAGGGCTTGTGTCATCCCTCTCATGAAAGTACTCGAGGCATTGGTTAGTCCAAAAGGCATGACCAACCATTCGTAAAGACCATCCTTTGTTTTAAAGCCAGCCTTCCATTTGTCACCTGAGCAAATCCTAATTTTGTAATACCCACTCTTTTAATCAATCTTAGAAAATATTATGGCACCAACCATCATATCCAAGATATTATCAAGCCTAAGGATTGAAAAACGGTACTTCACAATGATCTTATTGATGGCACGACTATTAATATACATCCTTCGAGAGCCATCTTTCTTAGGAGTCAAAAGGGCGGGAATCGTACAAGGACTTAAACTCTGACGGATAAATCCTTTATGAAGGAGCTCAAATTCTATAGCATGTTGAATATCTCGTAAAGGGAGCAGCAGATCAGGAAGGTCCTCAGGAAAGACAACTCGAAACTCTTGAAGAATTAGCTGGACCTCCTTAGGGGTCAATATTGGACATTTTGATGGAATTTCCATGACAACCACTGTGAACACGACAGAATCCTCCCCAAGTTTAAGCTCAAATTCTATAGGGTTAATCATATGTGATCCTTTCCGTCCCACAATTTTCTTAGCTTCTTGTGAATTAACTAGTTTTGATATGGTAGTGAATAGCAGTAGGTGTTGAATATTATGGTGACAGTGACTGGTAGCGGGATGAGCGGTAGTGGTGGCATGATTTGTGACTGGTGGCGGTGGTGTACAGAATCGGCCGGAGGTAGTATGGGTTGTGTAGTAGCGCAAAATGTGTTTCTGTTGGAATTGTGTATCTAGGCTGGTGGTAGTAGTTGTAAGGTGAAGCTGTTGGGGAGTTGCAGGGGCTGTGTATGTGGGTATGGGGTTTTGTTTATTCTCACAAAATCTTGGCGGAGGAAGAAATCAATAGCTTCCAGGTTGGTTCGTCTGCAGGTGTTCCAGTAGGCAATATTAGACAACATGTTGATGAAAGAAACCAGGTTTTAGCTCTGATACCACTTTGATGTTGCGGCCAAATAAATATTGAAGCAGTCCCATGGAAGAAGAAGAGGAAGGAGGAGAAAAGAAAAAGGAAAGAAGAAAATACCACAGAGAAGAACACGTGAGAGGGCAGTAAAGCCTGTTAATTTCCCATCATTGTCTGCCTTCCTTCACCTCCAATACACCACTTATAGATGAAGGTTATGGGCTTGGGTCAGGCCCAAATACAAACCCAATTTAATAGTACAAAATAATAAAACCCAAAAATTATTCAAATGGATGTCCTCATCAAATATCTTTATGATGTAGTTGCTACAAGTTGATCTATGATTCCTATCAATTTTGTCTATTTTAGGATAACCAACATAAGAGCATCTCGTCATTTTAAATGGTTAATAATTGACCTATAATTCCCATCAATTTTGTCAATTTTAGAAGAACCAACATAAGTTACTGATAGAACACTAATGAAAAGAACAGACTATTTTATTGAATCGAAGACGATTACAGGAAAATGAAATTACAGTGAAGCCTATAGAAGGCTGTAAACAAGACTCTCGAGACTTTTAGTCCAAAAATGACCTGACCAATACTCTTCTAACCCCTCTTATTTATAGACTCTCCTAACTGAAAGTTGTTATCCCATATTCCCCCAAAACAGAATTTGGTTACCCCTTTCCCTCCACTTCTGAGATCCTCTTCTTCCCCCTTATAGAATATGTGAGATGAATCGGTGGCCTAACAGTTACATAAATGACTCTTTATAATCTTGATAGTGAAACACATGCTTCTACTTTGTGCAATTACAATAACTTTCACACTGAGACACATTATCTCATTAATAATTAAAGAGGGAGGCAAAGTTGAAATGTTTACTGATGGTTTAATATAACCTTTATAAAATGCATCTTTGTGTGTTAGAATAAATTTGATAGATGCTTTTTGGCATCTCATTATGCTTGATTGTGGTGGATGGCACTGCTGATTCTTACACTAGTGCGGTTTGGAAAAAATTGCTTTGTCGAACTTATGTTATATTGACTGTTTTTAATCTTTCTCCCAAAAGGGTCATGCCAAGTGTGCATTCATATGGATATTGTGGAAAAACTCTACAATTTTGGTTTCATTTTCATTAGTGTTCTCTCATTGACATAGATGTATCTTGAGGTGATCCTGGGCTTGCTGCTATCATTTCTTGTAATTTCCATTCGATTGGTGAAGGTACCGTACTAATTTTAAAATATTTTGGTTGCAGGGTGGTGTCCCTCTGGTTTTGTCCACTGCTGCTCCAACACCACTCGTGACTCAAGCTACTGGAGTTATGCAGAGCTCCCAGCAACCACTTCCAGTTTTCCGGCAACCAACTGGGATGCATTTACCACACTATCCTCCAAACTACGTTCCATATAGTCCATATTTCTCTCCATATTATGTCCCACCAGCAGCAGTTCATCAATTCTTAGCTACTGGTGCATTACCTCAGCAACCTCAGGCTGGAAGTATGTATCCAACCCCACCTGGGGCAACTGCCAAATATTCAGTTTCTCAATTTAAGCAGGGGCCTAATGCAGGAAACCCAACCTACATGGGAGTGCCGGGCAGTTACGGGCCATATGGCCTTTCCATGGCCAACTATACTTCCAGTTCAGCCACTACAGTTGTTACTTCAACGTCTAATGAGGATCTTGCCGCCCATCAAGTTAAAGAAAATAGTCTCTATGTCAGTGGTCAACAGGTGTGTATTTTTGTGCATCTCACATGATCTATTTTGACAATTTTCACTCATTTTGGAATTAAGTTTTATTGAGGTTATGAAAAACATTGAGGTAGCTTTACTTCCTAGATAATGTTAATCAATCTTGAATAACTTCCTGCCATCAGAGGGTACACATAGGTTGTAGTCCTGGAATTATGTTAAGAAAGTTATAACTATGAAACTCTTAACAGTATTCTAAGGTAAGAACATCGGCTTATAATCTTGTACTTCGATTTATGACTTGCTCGAGTCCCCCTATGGACTCTATATAAAGAAAAGAGAGTGAAGAAAGATAAAAAATCTCCTAGTAAATTACTATTTGTGCATCTCACATGATCTATTTTGACAATTTTCACTCATTTTGGAATTAAGTTTTATTGAGGTTATGAAAAACATTGAGGTAGCTTTACTTCCTAGATAATGTTAGAATCAATCTTGAATAACTTCCTGCCATCAGAGGGTACACATAGGTTGTAGTCCTGGAATTATGTTAAGAAAGTTATAACTATGAAACTCTTAACAGTATTCTAAGGTAAGAACATCGGCTTATAATCTTGTACTTCGGTTTATGACTTGCTCGAGTCCCCCTATGGACTCTATATAAAGAAAAGAGAGTGAAGAAAGATAAAAAATCTCCTAGTAAATTACTTGTCCATTTCCAACAAAGAAGGTATATCAAAGTGAAGAAATTGTAAGAAACAGGGCATAACCTTTTATTAAGTTTCGTTGTTTTGAGAGAAAAAAGTATTATCCTCTGATTCTTGTCTGATGATGCATTGGGTGAGTACACTAATGTTGCGAATTTGCTTCTCTGCAGAGTGAGGGTTCAGGCGTATGGTTTACAACTCCCAGTCAGGATATTTCTTCCTTACAGGCTAGTTCGTTTTACAATCTTCCTCAGAGTCAGCTTCCTTTCACTCCAACGCAGCCTGGCCACGGCACATTTGCAGGTATGTACCACCCTTCACAGGCAGCAGCAACTGTTCACCCTCTTCTGCAACAATCTCAAACCATTACAAGTCCTGTCGATATGGTTGGACCTCCAACTAGTGTTTATCAGCAACCACAGCATACAGTTTCGTTGTTTTGAGAGAAAAAAGTATTATCCTCTGATTCTTGTCTGATGATGCATTGGGTGAGTACACTAATGTTGCGAATTTGCTTCTCTGCAGAGTGAGGGTTCAGGCGTATGGTTTACAACTCCCAGTCAGGATATTTCTTCCTTACAGGCTAGTTCGTTTTACAATCTTCCTCAGAGTCAGCTTCCTTTCACTCCAACGCAGCCTGGCCACGGCACATTTGCAGGTATGTACCACCCTTCACAGGCAGCAGCAACTGTTCACCATCTTCTGCAACAATCTCAAACCATTACAAGTCCTGTCGATATGGTTGGACCTCCAACTAGTGTTTATCAGCAACCACAGCATACTCAACTCAACTGGTCTAGTAACTACTGAATGAGGAGACGTTTCTTTTGAAAATCAATTACATTTTAGAGTTCCAATCTTGAATCGTCTAATGTGACGTCAAACAAGTTTTGATTTGAAGAAACAAGTGCCGGACCCAAGTGTAAATTTATGGAAGGAGCCAATATATTGTGACATCTTTTTAGTCGATTAAGGCCAGACCATGCTAGCTAGCCATCAATTTCATGCTTCTGATAGATGGTTTGTTTTTCCTTGACATAACCGGGGAGTCTTTCTATAGGTTTCGGCTTGATTTTTAGAGCATGGGATGGTTAAATTATTAATTTTCTTTTTCTTATTTTCTGTAGTTTGGAACCAAATAGGTACCATTGCCAGACTCTGGTTAGAGTTTTATAGGTGTCGTTTCGACTATTCTCTCTGTAAATTGAATATTTTGTGATACGAGAGAGGCCGTATTAAGAACTGTTACAACAGGCCTTGGTGTATGCAATCATTTTTGTGTGTGTGTGAGAGAGAGAGAGAGAGAGAGAGAGAGACTAATAAGCGTTCTGGCTTGAGATTTGTGTATTATTACATCATTTTTGAAGGTTTATTTGTTAAATGTCAATATAAAGAAACACACTTCATCTCTTCGATTTGTGCTGTGATATCCTTGCGTGGGGATCATATCGTTCGTTTCAATTTTATAGGAGGAAAAGTTTAAAATTCTCATTTATAAATGCACTTTGTTATCTTTGTTTTTATGCCATTGCGTAGTGGATTGTCTACAGCTATGTTACTGATTATGACCAAGTAAAACTCCTACCTGGGAGTGAGTTTTCCATCTAGGGACGTATTGTACCAAGTAATTATCCGCTTCTCTATTTGGTGGGGATTAAAATCAAAATTTTAATAGATTTTGATAAAAGTTGATAATAT